GGGGGGGGGGGGGGGGGGAGAATTTTGCTAATTTTTAACAATATACCGCAACGAATGGTCTGTTGATACGGAACAGCAAATGACTCCGTAGTGAGGACAAAGCTGATCTGCCACTTTCAATTTGCTGTTCCGAGCAACATTTCTGGAACGGAGGCATAGCTAATCTAACCTAAATAAACGATCAAGGACAAGCGTGATTTGTCTCTCAGGCAATCTATGTTTGTTAAAGTAACAAATGATGAGGAATGATTTCCATTGATAACGGCTCGATCTGGTTCCTTAACGATCGTCAAACAGCAAACGTGCTTTTTTCTAGCAACCGAGAGATCTTTCTCAGCGCGGAATCGCGCACTGATATAATATTCACGATGAAGTATGTTGACACAATCGGAAGGAGTCACGATGGCGCATGCAAAGATAATTCGACAAATAGCTCGACATAGACGCGGTTTTCATATATGTTTGAGAATGTAACGCCATTACTTCTCGTCTGGCGTAAGTTATGTGGAGCAGATGTGGAGACACGCTATGTCGTACGATAAAAATAGCCAGAATACGGAATTATACGCTGTTACCAATGCAGCCCCGTCTCTATTCGCATCAGCATGTGAGGTGATAAGTGAGATTTGAACTTGCTCAGTAATAAGACGATGTCATTGCGAAAGAATCTGCGAATCTAGGAGTTTATTAGATTGCCAGAAGTAACATAATCAAATTATTTAAGAACGGATGAAATCTAAGCGTTATTGCCGCGTCTATTTTTGTTGCTTTTTACATTCGACCAAATTGGTTTTTTACAGTTATCCCTCAGTTATTATCTAAAAAACTTCGCGAGTGGTTACAGATGTCCGTCGACCGATTACTCCCTCGATCACTTTTCCAATAATACTGTCTGTCAAATGTCTGTTATATTGAGCAAAAAATGATTGATGTATTTGTAACTACAATCACATTAAAGAAATAATTACTATAAATTATGATCGAGGAAAGCTTTTTTTTATTAAATTCTCTGCTATACAATGTTGTATTAGTGATGATATCCCTATACGCATATTACTACAGCCATTCTCGTGTTAGAACAGCCAAGAAATATTTTTGGGGCCGGAAGTAACTATGATCTTAGTTAGATCGACCATCCTTTTCTCTCAGCGTACACGATCGCAACAAATCGACCGCGGAATTCGATCGAATTCGCATAATATTTTTTTCGGCTGCATCTTCCCGCGCGATAAATTCCCGGCAAAAGTTCGCGCACCACTCGTGCCACGCGGTCCCACGAGCCTAAGAGCACGAAGAAGAATCCTCGAGGGCGTCGATACGCGAGGATGTAAATTGAAAGCCCAGGAGCGGAGCACGATGGTTCGCGAACGGGCCATCCGGGTACCATAATTAATCCTGGCGATCCGCCAGACAGCCCGGCCACAAAAGGAGGGGTGAGGGAGAGGGGGGAGAGGGGAAGGAGAGTGAGAGGAGGACTCGTTTTTATACTGCCAGATGATGGTAGCGAGAGGACGGGAGAGACGCAAGGGCGGGAGGGAGACGGAGAGGCAGAAAAAGAGAGAAGGACCGGCCCTCGAAATGCGCGCGCGGAAAATCGCACGCTCGCCGGGGTCTGACGGGAACAATGAACAGTCCTGACCGCGATTTCCCTCGTCGGGGAAACGAGCTAACGAGCTGTCAAACGTCACCGAGCCGGAAGGGCCTGGGCGCTGTTGAATGTCGGTGGCACGGCGGCGCATCTTCGATCGGCTTCCCCCGTATCGACGAGCCTCCCGGAGCAGGACGCGTCCCGTCTTCCGCTAACTGCAACGGAGATTGGCAATTACGTCGGCCAGGATCGATTTGATATTGAAAACTGGAAACGTTTCAAACAGCAATCGGAAAAATCTCGAGGGCCTCGGCGCTCGTCAAGCGCTCGACGGGAGCGGCCGCGCGAGCGAATGCATCTGAAACGAAGTGTTACCCGATCGAGGAGAGGTCCTCCTCCTCCTCCTTCTCTTCCTCCCTCTTCGAGATTCATCGTGAGCAATGTGTTTCGGCGTGACGTCACGCCGACGTGCGTGTAACAACGTTGAGCAACGAGCCGGCGGTATTATCGCTCGGCTAATCGCTCCGCCGCCTCTAACGAAAAGGCGAATCGAGCTCTCTTTTAACGGGACGCAACGCGGAAATTGCAATCGAACGTCAAGCGAGTTGCCTTCCCGACGTAAATGATTTATGAAAGCGAGGGGAAACGCGAGCCGTCGAAGAGAGCCATTCCATAAAATACGGATAACCGCGTGTCGGGCGAGAGTGGGAGAAAGAGGGAGAGCGGCGGGAGAAAGGGAGATGAGGCGGGGAGAGGGCGTCTTTCAATCCCGCTGTATGAGAGACGACTCGCTCGATAGTAGAAAAAAAAAGAAAGAAAAAAAGAAAGAAGAAACGTTGCGTCGACCATTT